CAGACAGACAGACAGACAGACAGACAGACAGACAGACAGACAGACAGACAGACAGACAGACAGACAGACAGACAGACAGACAGACAGACAGACAGACAGACAGACAGACAGACAGACAGACAGACAGACAGACAGACAGACAGACAGACAGACAGACAGACAGACAGACAGACAGACAGACAGACAGACAGACAGACAGACAGACAGACAGACAGACAGACAGACAGACAGACAGACAGACAGACAGACAGACAGACAGACAGACAGACAGACAGACAGACAGACAGACAGACAGACAGACAGACAGACAGACAGACAGACAGACAGACAGACAGACAGACAGACAGACAGACAGACAGACAGACAGACAGACAGACAGACAGACAGACAGACAGACAGACAGACAGACAGACAGACAGACAGACAGACAGACAGACAGACAGACAGACAGACAGACAGACAGACAGACAGACAGACAGACAGACAGACAGACAGACAGACAGACAGACAGACAGACAGACAGACAGACAGACAGACAGACAGACAGACAGACAGACAGACAGACAGACAGACAGACAGACAGACAGACAGACAGACAGACAGACAGACAGACAGACAGACAGACAGACAGACAGACAGACAGACAGACAGACAGACAGACAGACAGACAGACAGACAGACAGACAGACAGACAGACAGACAGACAGACAGACAGACAGACAGACAGACAGACAGACAGACAGACAGACAGACAGACAGACAGACAGACAGACAGACAGACAGACAGACAGACAGACAGACAGACAGACAGACAGACAGACAGACAGACAGACAGACAGACAGACAGACAGACAGACAGACAGACAGACAGACAGACAGACAGACAGACAGACAGACAGACAGACAGACAGACAGACAGACAGACAGACAGACAGACAGACAGACAGACAGACAGACAGACAGACAGACAGACAGACAGACAGACAGACAGACAGACAGACAGACAGACAGACAGACAGACAGACAGACATGGCTAGATCGACTCGGCTAGTGATCCTGATCAAGAATATATATACTTTATGGGGTCGCAAACGCTTCCTTCTAGCTGTTACATACTTTTGCACGAATACAATATACCCTTTTACTCTACGAGTAACGGCTCCAGAGCGGAGCGTAGAGTTGCGGGAGTGTTGGAGAGGGAGAGCGAAGGGCAGTGCGAGGGAGCGAGATGTGGACATCTGGAGAAAACTGCCGCTCGACACTGCCTCCCGAAATTAAACGCCCTTTTGGCGTGAGCAACGGGTATAACTACAATACAACTACATCATTTAATGTTATCAGGTAATATTAGAGTTTTTTACACAAAATCACCAATAACAATTAAAATTTGAGAATAAAAAATATTTGTCACCATACAATATAAAAGGTTCGTCACGATACCCTACAAGGTACACTTGGAGCAAAAATGGTGTCACTCTCAAACGGCGCAAACAAAAAAAATGCCAAGTACCAAAAACTGTTGTTTAAGATCTCATTTGTACGAGCATATATTTATCTGATTTTATTTTTCACTCATCTTCGCTCTGGCACTGCTGAAACACAAATAAATTGAATAGGTTTGCTAGTTTGTGCACCACCTTTTTAGAAAAAATTACCACACGAACAAATTACGGGACTTCTTAATAATATTACTGTAAAATCATTGTCGACACGATGAGAGGAGACGACTACATTTATTTGGAATTTTTAACGTGACGTCATATGTGAGATTCGACGAGTTCGTCACATTACCCTACTCGTCAAATTACCCTACACTCCCCTATATAAAGTTAAAAAATAAAAAAAAGCGCTTCCCAGGGGACGGTTTTTTTTTGTGCAGAAAAGTATGCGACAAATTTGAAAACGATCGGTTAAATCGTTTGAAATACCAATGAACACGGACTTTTAAAACGTACGTAAAGTTTAAGAGGTTGGGGTACTAATTTTAGCATAACTAATAAAGCTTTTTCCGATTGACATCAAAATTTTTTGTTTTGCGGTTTGTGAACCGGTTTGCGAACCGGTTCAATGATGAGCCGGAGCAGGGTTCAGGTTCGAACCAGGGTTCACAAAAATAAATTTTTTTTAATGATATAATAAAGTTAACATTTATTTCCATGTATTTTCATTGAAATATGTACCATAACATTAGGACTTATAAGTACAGTTACAAGATTTATGATTTATTAATTTTATTAATTTAGTAATTTTAATGTGGTCATACTGCGAAAAGTTTTGGAAGATGATAGTTATATATTATTAGATTGTTTGAGTTAGATGCAGTCATTGCATAGACAAAATATTTGGGCATTTTTATTTCCCTTAGTAAATAAACTTTACGTTAATATAATCAGAAAACCCCCCACAATGTTGAAAAAAAACACGAACACACCAAATAAATTTTTCGTGAACCGAACCAAATATCAAAAAAAAAAGTTCCCCCAGCCCAAACCATAAGACCTAAAATTCTGGAAAAAAATGGGTCTGAATGTTAGAGGGGTTGTGCACTAAGAAAGGATTTTTTAAAATTCGGCTCCTAAGGACTCCCAGGATTCCCACAGTTTTCAACACAACAAGTTTATATTTTTGTTTAGCTTTGCTTGTGGAAATCTTCGAAAGCCCAGAAGATGAGCTCCAACCGACTTCCGGTTAAGGCACTTAATTAATTTTTCCGCACCGATTATGCGATCGGATCCGTTTTTGGTTTAAAGTTGGAGCTATGCCATACAATCAGTAAGGTATTTTTATTTTTTGGACCCACGGTTGATTTTATATGATTTTTTTGTTTGTGGGGGTTGCGGGGGCCTCTTTGGCAGCCCGTTGTTTTTGTTTTTCGCAGCACTCACGAACGTCAGCAAAAGCAGAGCGAGAGAGTAGTGAGCAGTGAGAGAGAGAGAGGCGGCCAATGTTTTTTTTTCTGGCTTAGAAACACCTGATAAAATTGGTACTATTTGGATACCAGAACGGATTATCTAATGGATGCAATTCTAAGTCAAAGTGTGTAGCCAACCCATTAAATGCATAAGGAATTTTTGTATTGATTTTAAAAAAAATTTGGATTGGGTTTCAAGGGGAAAGCAGGGAAAAATTTTCAGTCGTCACATTTGCATTTAAGAAACGCAATGACACACTCACACATCGATTAATTGGCATGTACATACATAAGTATGTAATGATTAAATTAGGATAAAATAACGGATCACCCAATGCAGCCATTCTAAATCAAATATTTTGTATTCTCATTTTCAGGATGTACTGATTTTGAGTACAAACTTTGGGAAAAAACTTATATTGAGTACGAATTGAATTCACTTTAAAAAAAAAACTTGAATTGATCCCAAAAATCTTAATTTTAGGAAAGAAGTTCTTCAATTTCCAACTTGAGTACAAATATTTTCATTATGAGTATGACATTACTCACAGGAACCTTCTAAAAGGCTGGCCTAGGGAGTAAATGACTCTTGCCATCAAATATTTGATAGATAATGTCGTCCGGGTCGTGAGTTCAATCCCCATTTCGGTAAACACAAATAATTTTTTTTGTTATAATGCGTTTTTTTATTTTAAATAATTTTATTGAATTATTTGCAAGCATTACAATTTAAATCTTATGCGCGGTTTGGACGTTGCTGAATTTGATGCTTGTTTGGCTCAGCCGTTTAGTGCGCGCGTGCATTAACACAAGGGTCGGTGGTTCGAGTGACGGAGAAGGCGACTTGGGTCGAACAAAAAGTAAGTTTCTTTTATTTATAACAGTTTATTATTCACATAATTATGAAACAATTAACATAAACTGTGTAAAGCCCTTAAAATAATGTGTAAGTAGGAAAGGAAGTTCTCCGGATTGAGAGTTTTTTTCTCAATTCCATCATTTTTCAGTACTCAATTTAAGAAATGGCAATACTCATTTTTAAAATACTATCCAAGAAATTTTCAAAAATGAGTACAGTTTGTACTCATACTACTGTACTGTACTCATTTTGAGTAAAAATGTACTAAATAAAAGGAAAGTGTACTTAATTTGAGTAAACATTTTTTGACAAATTTGTACTGATAGTTAGTATTTTGTACTCAATTTGAGTACAAATTACTTAAATACTTCTCTCTGTGTACTGGCGCCCGAAAAAGTTGGTAGAATTCTTGAGCCTTAATGTTTGGGGTGGCGCCTATTTGTTTGGCTGAAAGTGTATTTTGTATTCGTAAAAAGTATGTAACAGGTCGAATTATATAAATTCTTGATCAGGATCACTATCCGAGACGATCTAGTCATGTACACCAAACGAAAATTGTACGAATGTGTTCTTAAAGTCTAGTCACACTATGTGTGCTAACCTATCGAGTAAGCCAATAACCCGATTACTCCAAAAAAGTGTTTCCACTGGGTTAACTCCAAATATCGAGTAATGACATCTAGTGTTTGTTGTTTGTGTTGTTAATTTGACTAGGGATGGACCTTCAAAGATAGGAAATAAATACAAAATATGCCGAAAAATACAAAAAAATACTCAGAAATACCAAAGACCCTAAAACAGCGGTCGGCAGCGCCCTATTAAGTGAGCATAGGGTTTTGTTCTGCCGGCGTGCTGCTCGCACATGTATAACGTAGAACAGCGGTCTACACACACACATCGATGAGCTGACCAGTGAAAATTACTCACACAAATATAAAACAAAATGTCAACGTATGTGTGTGCCGACCGCTGCCCTAAAAGTACCTCACTTTTGCCCACATCTAGTTGTAGGGTTATGTCAATAGCCCCATAACTCCAAAACTCCACCCCAGTGTAAATAGACTATTACAGTGCAGTTAAGGTGAAATGTGAAAAACTAGAATGATTTTCAGTTCATAGGTCAAACAGTTACCAAACAGTTATAAATATGCAATTGTATACTAATAAGTTAAAATGTTTTCCAAATCGGCTCTTCATAACGTTGCTCTCTTCCTCGGAATATTTAAATAGTGTCAAGAAGATCTGCGCCAATCAAGAAAAACAACAAGATACGCTCAAAGCAGCCGCGGCTCAGCAAGAAAGTCAAATTTATAAGTAAGTATAAAATAAATTAACATAATTGGAAGTACTTCAAAATAATTTAGGTTAAAATACAATTGTATTTTAAATTTATAACACTATGCAGCATCAAAAATGAACCTCGATGAATGCTATATTTTTGGATTCGTTACGAATTCCCAAGTTAAACTGCGTTTTCCAAAGAATTCCCCGACGCAAGGATTCTTAGCAAAAGGACCTCAAAGTTCGAAAAATGCTGAAATTGGCCAACTTTGCGGAGCTCTCAGAGGCAAATGGATGCATGGTTTGATTCGATGTTAAAGTTTTTTAAAAGATACAGCCTTTATCTTTTAAACCCCATACTTAAAAAATTTTTAAGATTTTTTTTAGGGCAGAAACAAATTCTAGAAAACATAGTAAAAAAACATAAAAGTATACAGCTGCGGTCAAAATGGTAGTAGTGTTGCCGCCCTGTGTATTTAAAAGTTTGTTGTTGTAATTGATCTTTTCCTGGTAATATTGTATTGATTATAATTTTACTATTAGACTAATTGGATAAGAAAAAATTACAACATCAAACTTTTAAAAACACAAGGCGGCAACACTGCTACTATTTTGACCGCAGCTGTATGTTTTTCAGTTTTTTGACTATATTTTTTGAAATTTATTTCTGCCTTAAAAAAAATCCTAAAATTATTTTATGTATGGGGTTTGAAAGATAAAGGGTGTATCTTTTAAAAAACTTTAACTTCGAACCAAGCCATGCATCCATTTGCCTCTGAGAGCTCCGCAAAGTTGGTCAATTTCAGCATTTTTCGAACTTTGAGGTCCTTTTGCTAAGAATCCTTGCGTCGGGGAACTCTTTGGAAAACGCAGTTTAACTTGGGAATTCGTAACGAATCCAAAAATATAGCATCCATCGAGGTAAATTTAAAAAGCACTAAAAATGCTGCACAGTGTAATCAATCATTACATTGCACACTGGGCCGGAAAGCTAATTTTTTGGCCAAAAATCCATACTTTCTTTTTTTTCTTAAAAGATTCAACTTTTCAATGAGCTGCAATTTGTTGGAATATTATATGATATAGATAATCTAAACTAAAGTCGGAAAAAAAACAAGAGAGAACGCTATAGTCGGGTGCCCCGACTATCAGATACCCGTTACTCAGCTAAAGGGAGTGCGAAGAAGATGGAGATAAAAACTTTGATCCGCCGTAACTTTTTAACGAATGGTCCGATTTAAAAAATTTCTTCTACATTTCGATAGGTATTGATAAACACCATTTAACTGCATTTTTACTTTTCCGAAATATTGAAATTTTTAAAATCGTATATAAGCAAACTGAAAAAAACTTGCGCCGCGTATGACACTTTCAATTTTTAGCGTCAATTTATTGTGACAATTTTTCATTTGTGTGGGTTTAAAGAAGTGCCAGAGAGTCAGAATTAATATTATATCGGGCCTTTATTATTGGTGTTAGTGTTAGAGCAACCAAAAATTTTTGATTCTTTCTCGCGCTCGTTTGGAGTTCCATTAAAGAAAAATTGCTACAATAAATTGACGTTAAAAATGGAATGTGTCATCTGAGCCTTAGTAAAATTGACAATTTTGCTGGTTGGGGCCTGTTTTACAATTATTACAGTTGATTTTACCAAGTTACCAAGCACTCCTAGCAAAGCGCATCAAAATCGCTCGACTTCAAGTTAAGCCTTCAATTAAAACTAAAATTACCGAAAACTAAGGCAAAACCGCATCGAGTCGGCGGTATGCGCTTTAAGTAAATTGATCAATGAATTTTTTTTTGAAGGAATGACTTAATTGGCGGATGGCACTCAAAGTCACTCGAAAAGCAAAGTTCTCATTTGCTAAATCAAAAAATAAATTTATTTTAGGAAACGAGTAAGACATACCAGCTAGATTATATTTTTTCAGTCAAAAGTTTGCAACGCAGTTAAGGAGATGTTACCGACCACATAAAGTATACATATATGGGCGGTTCTTTTACAAACCGAACGGATTCAGCCAAAAAAAAATTTCACATTTTTGATTTGCCTGAAACTTTTTCCAAATCCTGATACACGTGTTTACTTATTTTTCGAATAGTACAAAAAGTTTGTAAAAGAACCGCCCATATATTCTTGATCAGCACCAATAGGCGAGTCCATCTAGTCATGTCCGTCTGTCCGTTTCTATGCGAACTAGTCTCTCAGTTTTAAAGCTATCGCGATGAAACTTTCTTCTTTCTATTGCACGTAGTACATAAGTCAGGACGAGCTGGATCGAAGTTAAGTCAAATGAACTCACTCACTCTATTTTCAAAAATTGACTTTTTTGTCAATTCAAGTGGACTAAGCTAAGTAATACTCAAATTACGGATAAACTTCCGTTTAGCTCCTACCCCCAATTTTTTTCAAACTTTCCATATTGACGTGTTTTTGGGTCCTTGGGTCCTTACGGGAAAAATAGCCAAAGTTGGCGCAAATAACGGGATCTTGAAAAATAACGGTAAAAATCGTAAAATTTTCGGTTTTTTGCAGTTTTTTCGGAAAATAAAAGAAAAATCAAAAAATGTTTTAGACAAAAACAGAAGATATTTATAGAACGGATCTTTTGTGTATTAATCATTTTCTTCGTAAACTGCAATATCCCGCCATAAAATGGCGACAGATAGTTTTCGATTAGTCGATAACAGCATTTTACCTTCTACTCTGGTGATGGACCTATTTTGCCTTTTTATACGATGTATCGTGTTCATGCTCCTCGAAAAAAGGAAATGGAACGGATGACCTGAATGAAAGCTGGATAAGCTTTTAAAGAAAGTAGTAAGGTACGGGCAAGAAAACCGCCGCAGGGAAAAATTTTTTTCGCGATTTTTGTTTAAAAAAATTTTTGCCTGCGACTTTATAAATGATTTATATGTATTTTTTGTTAATACATTTTATTTCCGTTGTATAATTTGTATTTTATTTTGTTATCTAAATGTTATATTTAACTACGAGAACTGAAATGCTCTTCCTAAAAATGTAATGCCATTCTCGTGCTTAGGTAGTATCATCGCTAATACATCGAGAGACATCGATATAAATTTTGACACACCGATACAACATGAAGCTTTCGTGCGATATATCGGGCAAAATGACGCAAGTGTGCTCCAACGGTTTTTTATTTTCAAACATTGTGAAAAAATATTCTTATTTAGCGTTTTTAACGAAAACTATTAGTTTTACAGAAAAAATGTATAAAACATAAAATACTTATTTATTTAAAAGCTTTCATTTCTCCTAGCTAGCTTTTTGATTAAGTTATTATATTCGAAGATATTTAAGAAAAACTGTTTTTACCGTTTTTTTCCATGATACCGTTATTTGCGCCAATTTCGACTATTTTTCCAATAATCAGTGGATTTTGAAAGTTTGAACGAAATCGGGGGTTGGAGCTAAACGGAAGTTCACCCCAAATTACTTAGCTCAGTTGAGGATCCATCTAACTAGAATCAAATATCAGTGCAAAATAATATACAGGGGTGTCACAGAAACCGTTGACGGATTTGGGGACGGTTGGTTTAGAAACCAACCGACCAAAACCGTTGGTGTCACAGGAATTCGAGAGATTTCCTTTTTTCGGAAAATTTACCGAAAAACGACCAGGGCTGGATGCATACACTAAGTATCGAATATTCAATAATTATCGTATTTTATTTGACTTATTTGGACCATTTTCCAATAAGTTTTAAACTTAATTTATGTTTTTCTTGCAAAATTACAAAATGAATATATGTTTAAAGCGCATATTGTACATAATAAAAGAAAAAAATTACAAATTTGAATTACCCGCCAGGCTACATATTGCAGCCCTGAACAGCGGTTGCCGCGGCTGCGTTGGGTTATTTTCATTTTTAAGTTGGCAAGAATTTTAAAAGCGAACCGAAGTGCAGTCTGCTCTAGAGTACTTGCGAAGGCATAAACTGCGAGAGGCTAGGACGCAGAGGAGATCCTTACAAGCGGTTTTACCATGGGGCCCATGGGGATTTAACTCGTTGGCCAGGTCCTTTCACAAGAATGCGGCCGCCCTGAGTAAATCGTTTGGCAATGTCGATATTATCGCGAATGAATCGGAAGAATATGGTGTCTTGCGCTGGTAACCTATGTTTACCCCTGAAAATTAGCAAAGCTTATTAGTTTAAATTAATAATAAACAAAAATGTTGTACTTTCTTACATGTATGTCTTCTTCTTCTTCACAGCCAGCGTTTTACCTGGCAAAAATAGGACATTTTTTCACGTCAGTGATGCCAACTTTTTGCAAAAGGCGGCCTGTTTGTATTAATTTCTCAATAGCTACAACTTCTTTTACCATGAAATTTTTACCAGAAATAAGTTTCATTTTTAACTACAATACTTAGTACCTTTGAATAAATAATTCGTTAACAAAACATTTCGATAACTAAGCCTAGTACTCAGTTCGGCTAAGAGTTTTACTAGTCGAAAAATATTAATATTTTAGGGTGACCGAAGTTTTCGGAGTTCATCCGCAATGCATGTAGAATGGTCTTACTCTCAGCAAGCAAATTAACTGGCGCCAATTTTGAAATATTACAAAATGATTAGCCGACCTAGGTCGCAAGCTTTAAATTTGCTGTTGGAATGAGGATATGTATTGCTGCAACTCCTATAGGCAGTTTTCCATTGGTTTTTGGGGTTTTCAATCTATTTATAATATGTTATTGGCACACCGCTTCTGCACAAACACAGCCAAAGATCAAATTTTTTATTCTTTGGGCCGCGGCTAAAGGCGTTCATCAGAATTCATCCTCTAAATCTAGTATTTTTGTGGTATTTTCTTACTATTTCCTTAGCTCAACTGAGTACCGCGGTGAAAAAAGTCCCCGGCTAAGGGCTTTAGCTACCTATTTGCCTCTCGCTTACTCCTATGCTTAGCTAGCAGTTTTCGTCGTACTGAGTACTAGGCTCTAACTCCGAAATTTGGACAAATTTGGTATTTTAAAGTGCTAGTTAAATGGTAACACTGCCAGGTA